TTTATGTTGAATCAGCTTCTGCCATTTTGAAACTGGTTTAAGTTCACCGAGCGTCTGTTCTGTTATAGATTAAACCAGTGTCTGGTGACTTAAACCACTTTATGTGTAACTTCTGTCCCTAGCCTTACTGCTTAGCTCCATGAATTCTCCATGAATTCTGCTGGGGTCCTTGTGAAGGGTATTGATTGTAGTAGCAGTGGAGATGTTTTGACAGGTTTTGCATCTGTTGTTAAGGCAAGCTGTGTCCCCAGTCTTTTGAACACTGGGGAGTTTGCTTCTGATAATGAGTTAGGCAAGGTTAGGGGATTGTTTGTAAGCCAGGAGCAGAGGGTCTGGGGAAATTTCTCTCAAGATCTGATGCTTGTCATGAATAGGCTATAATTGTTTGATTATTTCAATCAGTTCCCGTGTGGTGTGGTAGGTGACTACCAGAGGTGTGTGGTGGCTGAGGGGTTTCTTTTTTGTATTTAGTAACCTATTACATGACATAGAAAAAATATGTAGAAGTTCTCTTTACTGAACATGCAACACTTACTTAATGTGAGGTTTTTCTGGATAAAGTAATAATGAAATGTTAGTTTCATTATCTAAACATACATTGCTGAATTGTTAAGAGTGAGCTGTTGTTTCCATTGTACTATTTGGGAAAAGGTAGTGTTTGACTCAAGACAATGAAGCAATTTGAAGACACATTCCTGCCTCTGTCATATTTCTTGTGTGACCTTTGGGCAAATGTCTTAACATCTTAGTGCCTCCATTTCATCATCTCTTTCTTACTTCACTGGGATGGAGAGGTTAGCTTCTCAGACTTCTAAAGTGCTTGAATAGTTTAGAAATTCAAATTTCTAGTAATTATTAGGTATTTACAACCAAGGTTTTATTATCCTTCTGAACTGAAATGGAGCACATACACCATCTAGAACTAAATTTGCATAATCAGTTTAGTCCTAGAAACATTTTTTTACTAGATTTCTCTTTTGAACACTTTTAAAAAAACTTCAGTAAGTTGCATCATTTTGAAATAAAGGTAGTATTCATGCAATTTCTCATTTAATCTGTCCTGCAGAGTAATGGGTCTGCTTTTAAGGTTTAGGGTTTTTTCTTTTTTTAATCCTACACATTGATTTCTCAATTGTTTCCTCTAGAAAAAAAGAACATTTTAAACTATCTTATGAAAAATGCCTTTTACTAGTTGTAGTATTCAAAAGGCAACATCAATTTGGATAGGATTATTTGTTTCACACTCCCTTAATGTAACTTAAAACATTAGGTTTAATGGAATGAAATTCGCTGTCTTTATGTCCTCAGGACTGTGCTAAAGAATAATGATTTAAGATCAAGACAAGAGTTAACTACCCATCTCACCAATCAGTGGCCTTCCCCTGGAGCTTTGGATGTCAATGCTGTTGCCTTGGATACCCTACTCTATAGAAAGCACAATAAACAATGGGATGAGTAAGTTGACTGTTTTTTTCTTTGCTTTCACAGGGACAGAGACAATACCCAAAATTATATCAGTAGGTTCCATCTCTTTTCCCAGCATAGTTTCATAGTAGCTAGGATCAGGAGGGACCTGAGCAGATCATCTAGCCTGACCCCCTGTCACAGGCAGGAATGAATGCTGGGTTCACAAGACCCCAGACAGGTGATCATCCAACCTCCTCTTGAATTTGCCCAAGTAGGGGTGAGGACCACTTCCCTTAGCATATTATCTGCCAACATACCACGTGTGCCTAATGGTTGTCTTACCTGACCTAACGGGAGAAAACGTTTTTTCAGCTGAAGTTAAAGGCAGTTTGAAACTTCAGAACAAAGTAGTACCTTGGGCATAGTCGTGGTACTCATGAGCAGTTCTGCTGTCATAAAAACATAAACGAAAATGAAAAGGAAGTTCAAAGCAATTTAAGAGTTTGGGGTCTGAATTGATATTTAGCAAGGTGGTAGAGTAAATGACAGCAAACTTGGTTTTCATAGCATGATGATGTTTAGCTTTGTTTGTGAACCATCATTAATTCAACCTGATTGACTTGAGATGACTGCATAGACTATATTAGCATGACTGTGACAGCACTATATTAGAACAACAAAATGAATGACAGTGAAGTATGTACGGTCAAATGTTTCCTTTAGTATGACACATTCTGGAAAAAAAAATGATCATCAAAAAAGGTGCAAATATTATTGAATAACTGAGTTTGTTGACACAGAAGAAATCTTAAGATATACTGTTATTTATTATAACCTCAGTATTGTACATATTATCTCTAATTCCATATATGACATGCATATTCAGTAAATGTAAAAGTACATATATAAACATGAACCTGTCTCATTGAAGTAAATGCTATATCATGGGATTGTGGGGTGTGTAGAAAATTAAGCCTATGCTTATATGTACTGTTAAATTGGTAGTCTGATTTTTATTGAATGATCATATGACTGACTCTTTTATTGCGTTTTCCTGGAATGAATGATTTTACATTTTTAATTGTTTGAATGGCCAGTAGTCTGTTGCAGATTTTAGGGAAAATAGATTCTTAGAGGAATGATGTATCAAATTTTCTATATACTTTTTACTTTGGTATGTTTCAGTATATTTTCTAAAATGAAAACAGTGCCAGGAGGCCTATTTTTTTTAACAGTGCTTCCATAATGAATTGTTTTGCATGCATGTGTATATTCAGTGGGAAGGATTCAATTCCAGTCTTTCAGGGTTAGTGAAGAAATGAGCCTTTAAAATTATGATGAAAAATTATATCAATCTCAGCTGCTGTTGCAGCTCCTTCATTTGCTTTTTTGGTTGGTTTGCTTTGTTTTTCTTTTTTTTCTCTACATCTTTCTGTTGTTTGACCTTCAGTTGCAATAGCTTAGGGGTCATTCAGACAGTTAGAAGAGGCAAACAAAGGAGAGAAAGGGAATATGTGGCTCTTACATTTTGAAAAAAATCCCATTAGTGCATGTGAGAAATAATCCTGTATAACAGGGGTATCAAATATCACCCCAGACCTCTGGCAAGATCCAGACAGTGGGTCTCCTCCCTTGCTGGATCCACAGGACCTGTGACAGCGGTGGGGGGTTTGGTGGCAGTAGCGAGGGTTCAGGGCTCAGCAATGGGGGTCCAGCACGTGCAATGCAAGGAAGGCCTGTTTCTGCACAGCCCTTGCTTGTCTGCCTTCCATGGCTGTTTATCAGGACCTGGGGGCCCCAAATTCTGCAGCAGGTACTGTCCCTAGCCCCACCACCCAATTTCCAGTAGACTGCATGAGACAGCTACTGGTGTGCTGGATAGGATGGATCACAGGCTGGATCTGGCATGTGGGTTGTATCTTTGACACCCTTGTCATATAACAAAGCTGAGAAACATGAAAAGCTGTGCTGTCAAGAGCACAAGTATAATGTCCTCTAATAGCTTGGAAAAGCTGGTCACATGGAATTGCTTTATTTTTCCTGCTATATTGCATTATTTTCAGAAAACAAGTACAGTAGGAAAATCCACTTGCTGCTTCTTTTCTTCCTCTGAATCTTGAGGTTATACATTTCTCTCCATGAATACAGTTGCTTGGCTTCCGTGTTTCCTTAATACCTTTTTTTCAACCTTTTTTAATAAGTGTACTCCTGGCAGCCCCCTTTTTAATAAGTGTACCCCTGGTGGGGGTGGCAAGCAGCCGGATGCCAAGCGGGGGGTGGGGATGGTGAGCAGCCAGATGCTGAGCGGCGGCGGATGGTGAGCAAGCGGGGTCATGGCAAGCGGCAGAGTGGTGGCAGCTCAGCGTCGCCCCACCCCGGCTCTACTCCTGTGGTGCGGGGTGGCAGCACTCCATCCCCACCCACTCCCACATACTTCCTGGGACCTTTCAAAGTACCCCCAGGGGTACGCGTACCCTGATTGACAACCACTGCCTTAATACATATTTTGACTAATCTTCTCTTTCGTTTTCCAGTGAATCTGTTAAAGCAGGGGTGTCAAACTCAGAGTCACTGGGCTGGTCTCCAGGCCAGATCAGGACTGACCCCTGTACCATGTGCAGTGCCTTCCACACTAGGTCCAGCCTATGTGCCACATGCAGCACACACTGACTCCACTCCAGCTCTCACTCTGCACACAGGCTGGACCTGACACTGCACACAGAAGGTTGGTCCCAAAGCCAGTGCGTAGAGCTAGTCCAGTGCATGTGCCGCATGCAATACATGCCCTGGACTAACCCCTGTGCTGTGTGTAGCATGCACAATGCCAGGTCCAGCTGGTACGTGCCCTATGCAGCACATGGGGTCAGTCCAGAGACTGGATCATACAGCTCCACAGGCTGAATCCAGCCTCAGAGCTGTATATTTGACACCTCTGCATTAAAGCTTTCAGTAAATGTCTTGTGGAATTCACATGCTGTTTTCAGAAAACTGCCAGGTGTTATCTGAGGTGTTGTCTCTGCTGTGAGAGAGGAATGTAGAAGGAAGGGTCTCAGAGAATATATCCATACATTCCTCTTTTTAAATAGATAAGATTATATATGCATCTCTATCCAGGAGCACTTTACTGTATCTGTTGTTGACAAATATTACTAGCTTCCCATTGTTAATGGAAACAGGCAGTTTAAAGTTTTGAATAAATTTCATTATAACAGAAGTAACCAAGCAAGAAAGTAGAAACATGTTTTTGGAGTTACAAGACTTAGTAGGTAGCACTAAAACTGCGTTAGAGTCAACTTTCATGTGAAAAAATTTAAAAAAATAAAGATTCAGAGAACACAAAAGTGTACAGACATAAAACATAAGGGCATGGATTAGTTTGGTGTTTGGCTTTATCATGTGTACAAAGGAAATGGTAAGTGTTCTGCTTTATTGCTGAGTTCATCTTCGCATAGTTTCACTATCATTAATTAAAGTGTGTTTGGAGTGGGGCGGAGTACAAGCTAATACAATGACATAATTACCCAATGGGAATAAGTTTTCAAAATTACCCAGTGGTAATACATTTCATTTTCCTTATCTTGAGCAACTCTGGCCTTCTGTCCTCCTCCTCTGGTGAACATATCAATCATGGGAACACAGTGTGTCAGTGGTTTTACAAATGAAAATGTTCCTTTGCTGTACCATTTGCTTCCCAGTGTGTGTTGTGCATCAGCCAAGGTCTTTGATGGTATATTCAAGAGATACCATCAGTCCTCTTTCATGTTGTCTTAACCTGTCTCTTTTGTCAACAACTGTCTTGCCCATTTTCCAGTCTGCAAGGCCTATACAGCATCAAAACAGTAGGTTCTGGACAGTAACATGACTGAATATACCAGTCTGTTCAGTTTGTTATCCACACCAAATGCCTTTTCTTCATCCTTTTTCAGGGATTTTGCTATGGCAGGAGGTGCTTTCCCTGATACCTCTGGTAGTGGTTAGACAAAAAAGTTCACCTGTTTCTCAGGTTAATGGTTTCTATAGCAGTTATAAATCAGAAAGGAAGATAGAGCTGCACTTCAGAATTAAAGAGGCTCAACACCCTTATTTGCTATTGTCAGGGTCTGTAAAATACTAAAGCAGATAATCTTAGTTTATCCATCTTCCTACAGTGCTCTTCAGTCCATCTTTGTGAATTGGGGTTATTTTAAGACTTCTGTATGATATCAACTAGTTCTGCTCTGGGAAAGGCTCCCTGCCTAATGATCTACTCGTAGCTTAGGTGGGTTTCCTCCTTTCTGCCCTTATTTTATTCTATTGGTACTTTACAAAGTGCGATGGGACCTGGCCTAAACTAGCATGTTAGATCCCACATGCAAAGACACTTTTGGTACCAGGATGATGATTTACTGAGGTCAGTAAAGGACCCACCCTAGTTTTTGACCAGGAAGAGTGTACTGCTCTGCATTCCCTTTATTTCACAACACTGATGGTGGATGGTCCTTCCATACTAAGAAGGGTCATTCTTATTCAGCAGAAAAAAATTGATCATACCTGGCAAAGTGAACCAGTTTTTCAGCTAGCTTTAGGCAAGGTATCTCAGCCCAGAGCAGTCTTCCATTCTAGCTATACTAGAACATCTGTTGGAGCTCACACAGACAGACCTATTCATCAGTTTAATCAAAGTATACCTGGCAGTTGTCAGAGGCCACCACCCTGTAGTTAATAGCTTTCACATGTTAGTCTTTTTTCACCTAGCAACCCTGAGATTCCTCAAGTGCCTGACAATTTTTTTTCCCTTCTGAGTAGCCCTGTTCTACAGTGGAGCCTAAATTTGTTCCTGGTATCTAGTGAGGCCACCATTTGAAACAACGGCATTTGTTTTATCTTTCCATAAAAATAGCGTTGTAAGATCCAAACCTTCATGGCAGCTCCTCCTTTTCTGGTCTTTTATTTAGACATGCATGGATACTTACCCCAAAAAAGAAATTTATTACTGGTAACTTAAGTTCTTTAAGATGTGTCCTGTTCCCTTCCCCTATTCCTTGGAATTATGTGCAATATATAACTCTGTGGTTGAGAAGAAATATAGGAGCAGAAAGGGACCAATACCTATTGCTTCCTCAAGTATGGGGCATGAGGAGGGGCAAAGCTATAGCATATCTTACAGTTAAGGCAAAATTATCTCTGATGGAATGCTTGAAGCACCCGTGCACTCTCAGGGAGGATGTGCAGATAAATACCACTTTTCAAAGAACTCAAATCACTGACAAGTAACCTTTTTCTTCCGTGTTTGGATCATTTGTAGTGAAAACCCCATGTTTTATTTACTACAATTTCTCAGTTTTTTTTCTCCTCCCTCTCTCCAGTGGGTTCACCAAATTTGTTCACTAATTTATTGTAGATAACAAAAGTGGAGATGAGTGAAGAAGAGGCAAGATTGATCTGGTTGCCTTTTAAAAACAGGATATTGAAGGTTTAAACAGAATGTCATGAACATTCCCTTGGAATTTTAGGAAAAAATATGGTTTGTCTTGCAGGAAAAGTTTTCAAAGTCTGGACCAGCTCTCAGCAGATGTTAGCTTTTCTCAGACATCTCTGGATCCAGGTCATTCACAAGATGGAAAGCAGGATGGAATAAATTTACTAAATGAAGGTAAAATGCTTGTCTGCCAGTTCCACTTTTTCACCTTTATCTCAGTTCTGACTAAATACTTACAAATATTCTGCAGTCAAGGCATCTTGCTTTGTCCCTGTAAAGTAAGTCCTAGGGATGTGTAAGTAAATGAAATTCATTTTTCTCATTATTAATGTGGTGATTACTCTGAATTCCCCAAGCACCTTATTGAAAATATATATATGCATGTATCGGTAGTCCCAAAGAAAACAATAAGTATTAGAGCTGCGCAAAATTTCGCCGGCTGTTTCATTTCAATGCTGTTTCGACTCGTTTCGAGCTCGAAACAGCAAAATCAAAACAGAACAAAGGGCTTTGAAACAGCCTCGAAATGAAACGAGAACAGACGAAACTTTTTGAAAGTTTTGAAACATTTCGAGTTTTGAAGCTCAAGCTGGGCTTGCCTGCAGGGAAACAGAAAGTAAGGAGAGGGAGGGGGA